AGGGGTTGGCTGAGGCCACAGGGATGCCAAGGCCCTGCCCGTTTTGGATATCTCCTCCTCAGGTACTGTTCCCTCTATTCTGAGGTAGGGAGGCCAGCAAATACCTGCCCTTAAGGGGACAGGGCTAGATGTGTGACTTAATAGGGCTGAGAGCCACAAGTAATCTCCTAAGTACTTTGCCTTGTAACATAAGATTATCTGGCCTGCAAACACCTGTTTTCACCCCTTTGCTGATAGCAATATAAAAAGCATTCTGGTTAATGACTCTAGGAACTGAGAAGGAATGGAATGCTCGAGCATTTGTCCTGTCCTGGAAGCATCTCCTCGGAAGCCAGGTGGCACGTGCCCTTTGCAAAGTTGAGGAAGGACTGGAAGGGCTCACCCAAGTTTCCATCCATATGTACTCATCAGGAACTAGTGGGAAGACTTGAAGGTCAGGGTCAGGGTTTGGAGACTCTCAGGTTAGTACAGCCACTAACTCTCTCAGTCATGGACAGCAGGTCAGTCCTTTAACTCCCTAGTCTGTGGTCTCCATAGCCTGGGAGGGAAGCAGGCAATTGAGAAGACCCAGGGTGAGAAGTGTAACACTGGACACCAGGGACAGGCCATGCTCCCGGGAGACAGAGCTAGATTGATGTAGACACTTGAGAAGCAGAGCAAGTGCCAGCCCTCACAGAGTTCATAACTGACCAATCATGTTCTAATCATTTAGAACTGCAAGTCCCTGCTTCGGGTGGCACGGAAGATGTTGACAATTTGTTGGAGAATCATTTCTCTGCTGGAGACACGAGTCTAGAGGAGAAAGAAAGGGCGCTTTATGCAGATGCGGCCCCTGGAGACAAGAGCCTGCTCCTTCACTACCCAGACGGCAGGGAGGCTGAGAGCTTGGAGCAGACCACTGCAGGGGCCCCTTCCACTGTCACCGGCCAGGGCTCCGAGCCTGAAGCCAGCCTGTTCAATACCTCAGCTGCACAGTCAGCTCTACCTGGGGATGCTTTGGGGCCTGGGGTGGAAGGGGAGGGTCCACCAGGAGCAGACACCCTTCCTTCAGGAGGGGTTGAGGGGCCAGTGGAGGAGGAGAGGCTAGAGTTTAGTGCTGGGGGTGAGCTAAGTCAGGAGGAGGCTGAGCTGGGGCTCCCAACAGAGGGGGCAGTGGGTAGGAAGGAGAGTAGTGAGGTCCCTAAGGAAGCCCAGGGGATCCTAGGAGATATCCCTGTGCAAGTAGCAGCAGCAGGATCAGCAGAACCTGAAGCCACCCAGGCCTCTCCTTGCATAGAGGGTAAAGAGGTCTACATGCTGGAGGAAGAAGGTGAGGGCAGCAGAGTGCCTGATCAACAGCCCACAGAGCTAGATGGAGTTCAGGATGCCACATTTGCTGGAGATAAGTCAGAGGCTGACCTGGCTGTAGGAGCCAGGGAGGGAATGGAGGACCAGCCCCAGCCACAGGATAATGCCTTGCAGTCAGATGATGAAGCCATCCCAGATCCTGACCACCATCACACAGAGCTTGATGCAGCCTCTGACACTGGGTCTCCTGGAGTAGAGGTAGAGGAAGAAGGTGAGGAAGGGGCAGTAGACCAACTCCAGGTCCGTGCCTCTCCCACAGATGGTGAGGCCAGCCCCGGACCGGATCGCCAGTCCACAGAGCTAGATACAGCTGCTGATGCCATATCTGCTGGAGAAGAATCAAAGGCTGAGGTAGATATAGAAGTTGGGGAGGAGGCTGAGGCCCAGGGGCAGCCCAGCTTAGGCCAGGGGGCTGGCTCAGCCACAGAGGCCAGTGAAGAGTCTGGGGGTGCTCAGAGTTCCAGGGCTGGGGAGACAGAGGAAGATCACCCTCCCGAGGGCCAGGTGCCAGGGATGCCTGAAGATGGCCTGGATGAGGCCTCTGAAGAAGAGAGTGGTAAAGAAAGTGCAAGTGAGGAGGAAGGAGTTTCATCCGAAGAGTCTGGAGAAGACAGCGGCGATGGAGCTAGTGCAGAAGAAGAGGGAGGCACCTCTGGGGATGCTGGGGAGCCACAGAAAGAACATGAGGAAGGGGCCCAGCTTGATGTGGAAGATTTGAACACAGGGTCTGAGGGTGGCAAGACCCAGGACACAGAGGCAGAGGAGCCCAAAGAGGGACAACAAGGGAGAGGGAATCCTGTAATTGCTCCTCAGGGTAGGAATTAATTCCTTACAGCAACCCCAGAACCATAGGCAGCCATATTCCTCATGGAAGTCTTGTATGTTACGGGACAGGGTGGGTGGGCGAGCCTCTGGTTAGTTCTGGGTTTGCCAGGCAGAGCCCAGGGAGTCCACTTAGGCAGCTCCTTAGCCACTTAGTTCAATGTGGAGGACTCTAGCAGAGGGTCCAAAGGGACCTGGCTATTTCTGAGTCAGGACCTAGGAGGCTCTTCTTTAGGGCTGCTAGGTGTTTTAAAATATGGACTAGTCTTAAGGACAGGGGAACAAGGAGACTGATGGCAGGTTTAGAACCCTAAGATTGGCTGGTAGAGGGAGGTATAGGGAGTTGGTAGGGCAACTTGGGAACCATAGGGTACCTATGTTGTGGGCCAGGACCAGTGTCTTCTCTTGAAGACTTCCCATAAGAGGTGTAAAAAATTGGGATCAAAGGGTTAGGGTTGTGGTATGAGAACAGGCTGACTGCAACTACCAATATCCTTCAAATGTTCCTCTAGAGCAGAACAGCCCTCAGAGGATAGGGGAGTGGGGGAAAGGGCTGAACTATTGGGCAGCATTAGGGGAGGCATGGTCAGGATCTGTAGACCTCATGTAGTACATGTGTGGACAGAACAGAAGCTGGATTAAGGGCAGAAGCTGGGGTCATGTCACTTTCCCAGCTGGCTTCCCCTCAGATTCCTTAAAGTCATTTTACCCCTTTGGGACAGGGGTTTATGTATTCCCGGCTGACCTTGAACTTGTTATGTAATAGTCAAAAAGTGGCCTTGAGCTCCTGATCTTCCTGCCTCAGCCTCCAGAATGCTATGGAATTACAGGCACGCATCATTATATGCAGCTTCTTGCAGAACTTAATGTACATATTCTTTATGAACTTGTGCTCTCTGTAAGCTCTAAGCTCTTTCCCTTTCCCTGTCCTCCCTATTTTGGATCTGGACTACCTTGGTTTGATTCCCTGAGATGTATGAGGCACACTGATACTGGCCTCCCTCTATCCCACAGGCCTAAGTGTATACTCTCCTAATCTAAGATCCTCTGAATAGGCATCCTGGCTAGAAATGGATAGCCTTAGAGGCCTGGACACCTTGTTTGCTTGGTCAACAAGTCAGCTACCCTCCTCTTCACTTCCCACCAGCAGCAGTTCCTTCTACCACCCATTCTCCCATCAGCCCCATCACTGTCATCCTGATAAGATGCTCATTCAGTTGATTACATTTGTGTAATCGCTCAGTGGCTCCCATTACCCTGGAATAAAATGCAAACCTTTGAGGTAGTCTTTTAGGATGTCTAGTTAGCTCCTGGAGCACCCAGTCCTCCATCTCTGTGCCTGGCCACACCTCTTCCTGCTTGCTATGTGGCCCATCAGAGAAAACTATGCTCCTGGGCTGGAGAGATGGCTCAGCAGTTAAGAGCACTGGACAGAGGACCCAGATTCACTTCCTATCACCCACATGGTGGCTAACAACTGCCTGTAACTCCAATTCCAGGGGAGCTAACACCCTCTTCTGGCCTCTGTGGGCACTGCACACACATGGTGTACTTATGTACACACAGGCAAAAACACTCATACACATAAAATAAAAATAAAAGAGAAAAGAAATAAAACTATGCTCCTGACTCCTGATCAGGAGCTCAGTTCAGGAAGTAGTCTCAGCCCTGTCATCTTAGGCACTCAGAGCTGCTGTAGCCTTCTCATTGCTCAAAATTATTACCTATTTTATTTTTTAAGTGTATGTGTGTATTGCCTGCATGTGGGTAAGTACACCTGTGTCATGCAATGCCCACAGAGGACAGAAGAGGCTGGCAGATCCCCTGGAACTGGAGTTACTGACAGTTGTTAGCTGCCATGAATTATCACCTATTTTAAAGATCATTTATCAACTCTCTCCCAATAAGCTGTAGGGCAACTCCCTAAGGGCAGAAGCTGTGCCTATGTGGATGCTACTGTGTTGCCAATGTAGTACTTGGCACTTGTTATATGATAGGTGCTCAACACATTTTTTTTTCTTTTTTTTTGAAACAAGGTCTTGCTGTGTAGCCCAGGCTGGCCTGAAACTTGTAATTCTCTTGTCTTGGCCTCTTAAGTTCTAAGACTACAGATGTGTGCCACCAATTTCCATGCTCACTCAATATATTTTTATTGAATAAATAGACAGGGCTAAGGTGATAGTTCAGTTGGTAAAATGCTTGCTGCACAAGTGTGGGAATTGGAGATTGATCCTCAGAACCCACATAAAAAAGCAAGGGCATGGTGGTGCACACCTTTGATCCCAGCACTTGGGAGGCAGAGGCAGGTGGATCTCTGTGAGTTCAAGGCCAGCCTGGTCTACATAGTGAGTTCCAGGACAGCTGGGGCTACAGGGAGACCCTGTCTCAAAAAAAAAAAGACAAAAAAAAAAATAAAGCTAGGTGTGGTGGTGTGCACTTACAATTCCAGCACTGGGGAGCAGAGATAGATCTTTGGGGTTCACTGGCCAGCCAGTCTATCCTAATTGGTGAGCTCCAAGTTCCAGTGAGAGACCTTGTCAAAAGACTAAAGAAAAAGGTGAAGAATGACATCTGAGGTTGACCTCTGGCCTCCATAGGTACTTACACACATACTATTGCACACACGTGCACTTGCATACACATGAACACATGCACAAATCATGGCCCTTAAAGTTAAGTTTACATTTTCAAATTCCAGAATTCAGATCCATTCAACTTGGCAACTTTGCTCAGCACCTACTTGAGTTTTATCCTTGGTCCATCTTTGTGACACTTAGAGCTAAACTGGCTTAGCTTTGCCCTGACTTCCCATTGTCTGCTTCTGTCCCCAGAAGACACAGAGGATGTGAATGAAGAAGCCCCACTGAGGGACCGCTCCCACATTGAGAAAACCCTGATGCTGAATGAGGAAAAGCCAGCTGATGATTACTCAGGTACCTGGGGAATGGAGCTGGGCTAGGACAGCCCTGTAGCTGGCAGTCAGGTAGAGTCTCAGAGAACTGGGATCCAGGGAACCAGAGGTCTGTTATCTCTGAGGCCAGATGGGACTACAGGGAATAGAACTCTGGAGACAGAGAACTGTGTGAGGTAGCTTTGTGAATAAGGCCAAGACTTTCAGGGAATGGGGTAGAGAGGAGGGACAAGTAGAGGGACCAGTGTCAGAGCAGAGGTGAATTCCAGGGCTGCCACCTGTAGGTTGCACTGGCCCCTGTGCTCTGGAAGGGAGGACAGTTAATAAGAATTCATCCCATTTGTTTTGATTTTTAGTTTACAAAGCTCTTTTATGTCTGTTTTGTAAAATCTCATTCTTCTAATGACCTAAGATTTCAGTGGGGCTTGTTATCCTCTCTTAACTGATTAGCTAGCCAAGCTCAGAGTACTATAGCGATTTGCTCTTGGCACAGCAGATGTGGCAGAGCAAGGCCTAGTCAGGTTTTTGCTTCCACACTCACATCTCCTGCTGCACACGCTGTAGCTCTCAGTTGTACCCCAGGTTTCTGGTTTCCCAGGTTTCTGAATCCTCCCAGGAGCACTGGATTTGCAATGATAAGTGAGGACAAGGGAGGTCATGCTGAGGGCCCACTGGACGCCTAGCCTTGTTACTGCCTTGGCCCAGGGTAGCACAAACAGAGACAAAGAGATGGGATTCTTGTCTCTCAAGGAAACAGTTTTCAGTTAGGCTATAGACCAACTTAATGTTTCCAGACACACTATTAGTTAAGGATGGAAGAGAGTATTTATTTATTTATTTATTTAAAATATTTTATTTATTGGCTGGGCATGGTGGCACATGCCTTTAATCCCAGCACTTGGGAGGCAGAGGCAGGCGGATCTCTGTGAGTTCAAGGCTAGCCTGGTCTACATAGTGAGTTCTAGGACAGCTGGGGCTAAAGGGAGACCCTGTCTCAAAAAGACCCCCCCAAAATATATATTTTATTTATTATTTTTATTTTATGTGTCTATGTGTATTGCCTGCATGTAGGTAAATGCACCCATGTCGTACAATGCCCGCGGAGGTCAGAAGAGGCCATTGAATCCCCTGGGACTGGAGTTGCGGTCAGTTGTAAGCTGCCATGTGGGTGCTGGGATTCGAACCCAGGTCTTCTGCAAGAACAGCCAGTGTTCTTAACCGCTGAGCCATCTCTCCAGCCCAGTCTCATTTATTTTTATGGCTTCATAATAGTCCACTGTCTGCATAGACTACATTTTGCTTATCCATTCATCTGTTGATAGACATTTGGGTTATTTCCAGCTTTTGGATATTGTAAACGATACTGTTATAAAAATGGTATACATGTATCTGATTTATATCCTGAACAGATATCGTTCCACCAAAGAAGTACCATAAGTTTCCCTTCTTGATTGGATTTATATTCCTGGGACTTGCCTTGAGCTTTTACCCTTGCTTTTCTTGCATTCCCCATATCCCTTAACTCCTTTTTCCTGTCATAGTGATCCTTTTTTTCTCTGATGGTGTTCACTTAGATTGATGGAAGAAGTTATAGATATATGAGTAAGCCAGTGTGGGGTGAAATCCAGACATTGTGTTCCTGATTGTGTAATCCTGAACCAGTTGCTTGGCCTTCCTGACCTTTGAACTTGTGTGAGATGGTAAGGAGAGATTGTCAGAGTCCCTGGAACTGGAGTTATGGACCGTTGTTAGCTGTCATGTGGGTGCTGGGATTTGAACCTGGGTCTTCTGCAAGAACAGTCAGGTTCTTAACCACTGAGCTATCTCTCCAGCCCCGGGAGTATTTATTTTTACTATTTGAAATTATGTGTATGTGTCTGTGTGTGAGTATGTTCATGTGAGTTCAGTGCCTACAGAGGCCAGAGGTATCAGATCCCTAGAACTGAAGTTACAGGCATTGTGAGCTGCCTGGTGTGGGTGCTGAGAACCAAACTTGGGTCCTCAGCAAGAGCACTAAGTGCTCTTAACCACTGAGCCATCTCTCTAGCCCCAGTATTAGGAGTTTAATTTTTTGAGATAGTGTCTCATATAGCCCAGGTTGGCTTCAGACTTCCTATGTAGTAGAGGATAACCTTAAGCTCCTGATCCTCCTGCCTCTACCTCTCTAATGGAGATTGCAGGCACGCACCACCACACCTTTTTAATGAAATGGTGGTAAGGATTGAATTTAGGGCTTTGTGCATGCTAGGCAAGCTTATACTAACTGAGCCATATCCCTCCCCAAGAATTAGTGTTTTGTTGTTGTTGTTGTTGTTGTTGTTTTAATAGCTCTGGAGGCTTTGTAGGTTGGGTAACAAATGCTTTTGGGCTGAGAAGTCTGAGGGTAGGCTAGGGACCAGCTTCTTCCCAAACACAGGCAGATCAGTCTGTGGGCTGTCAATGGCTCTTGTTCCTCCCCAGGCTGGGATAGAATCTCTTGGGGTAGGAGATTGTTTCACAGTGAGGAGCAGCCTGGGCTGATGCTCTCTTTTTGCTCCTCTCTGTCCCCAGCGGTGCTACAGCGACTTCGAAAGATCTACCACACATCCATCAAGCCCCTGGAGCAGTCTTATAAATACAATGAACTTCGACAGCATGAAATCACAGGTATAGCACCACGACCCAGAATTGGGCACTGCACCTTTGACCTACTCACACTTCCCTGGTTGTTCACAAGCTCCATGTATGATATACATTAGGACTCCGGGGGCTGAGCTTTCCTGAGGAGTAGAACAGAAGAGAAACTCAATTCTGGGAAGTACCCTTTCACAGAGTGCTCAGTACTCTGTTTGACAGAAAGCATTTCATTACTAAGCACTTCTGATTCAGGTAGTGGTATCTGATCCCTTCTGGGTTCAGGAGAGCCCCCTATTTACATGGGGATGGTGTCTGAGCCCTTTTGGTTTGGATTCCTCTCTGCCTCATTATTCCTCCAGAGCAGCTTCCCTTGGGCCTGTTTTTTTTTTTGTTTGTTTTTGTTTTCGTTTTTGAGACAAGCTCTTACTACGTAGCAGCTCAGGCTGGCCTTGAACTTCTTGAACTTGAGAACCTCTTGTCTCAGCTTTCTAAGTGCTAGGATTAAATACATGTGCTACCACACCCAGATAGGGCTGTGGATTCTTTTTTTTTTAACTTTAATTTTTTTTTTAATTTATTATTTTTATTTTATGTGTGTATTGCCTGCATGTAGGTAAGTGAACCCGTGTTATGCAATGCCTGCGGAGGTCAGAAGAGGCTGTTGGATCCCCTGGGACTGGAGTTATGGACAGTTGTTAGCTGCCATGTGGGTGCGGGGATTCCAATCCAGGTCTTCCGCAAGAACAACCAGTGTTCTTAACTGCTGAGTCATCTCTCCAGCTCCAGCCGGGGATTCTTTTAGAAATTGATTTCAAAATAATAAATGTAAGACATACTTATTTCAATTTTTTCAAATAATGCAGAATAATATAATTTGAAAAATAAAGCTAGTCATGGTAGCACACGCCTATAATCCTAGCACTTGGGAGACAGATGCCGGAGGATTGTAAGTCTGAGGCCAGTCTAGGCTACATAGTGAGCTCCAGGCTACTACATGGCAAGACCCTGTTACAACAAAATGATACACACCCAAATAAAAGAAAAATCCCTTTCTTGATCTCCACCTTATTTAATTCTATGCCCAGAGTTATCCATTGTCACAGTTTCTTGTCATAGTGCTCAGAATTGTACAAGGATGTGACAGATGCTTCCAGACATTTACTCTGCATCTATGAACATAGACATGTCTTTTTCTTTTCATACATGGGGTCATAGTATGCCAAATATGCACATGTGTTTATATATGTATCTATATACATGTACATTTATGTGTATACCTGTGCAGCTCTTCTTTATCTTTTCTTCAGGCCACATGGTCCTGTCTTCTGTGACTGTATCAGGCTCTGTACAACAGCTCCAATTCCTGAGGGATAATAGGTGCTTTCCATTTCCCATCTTTAAAAAAATGTTCCAGGGGCTAGTGAGATAGCTCAGTGGGTAAAGGCACTTGCTACTAAGACTGATGACCTGGGTTCAATCCCTGGAACCCACATGGTAGAAAGAGAGAACTACTCTTGCAAGTTGTCCTTTGACCTCCACATGTATGCTATGGCTATGCTTGCCCACACATATACAGACACATCATGCAAACACCTATGAAATAAATAAATGTTAATTTTTAAAAAAATGTTCCAAAGTGAGGCATGGTGGTTCATTCCTATAATTCTATCACTTAGAAAGCTGAGGCAGGAGGATGACTGAGAATTTAAGGCCAGCTGGGCTCCAGAATGAGTTGTAGGCCAGCTTAGGCTTGAGAGTGAAACCCTGTCTCAATACAAAATAAAAACATCCAAACACTACACATATATTTGTAGACCTTGTTTTTCTTTTTAAGCAGAACATTAGAATTAACCATTAAAATTTTTTTTGAACTTAATTGCAGCGCAGTCTCTTTAATTTCTTGTTCATTAATTTTTAACTATGTAAATTTTGAGGGTCACAGTTAAAACCTCATTCAATTTTATGTCTTATAAGGGTTATACTGAGTTCAATATTGTATAACTGTATTAATTCAACTGTGAACCTAAAATTTTATAGCCACTTTTGAAAGATGCTTCTCTTTCAAAATTGGCTGTAAATTTTGAGGGTCACAGTTAAAACCTCATTCAATTTTATGTCTTATAAGGGTTATACTGAGTTCAATATTGTATATTGTATAACTGTATTAATTTAACTGTGAACCTCAAAATTTACAGCTAATTTTGAAAGAGAAGCATCTTTGCTCTGGAAATTGTTATTGAATATGTTAATGCTGTAATGAAATGCTTCTAATCATGTGGTTATTAAATAATTAAAAAAAATTTTTTTTGAGCCAGGGTCTCTGGATGTAGCTCTAGGTGGCCTGGAGCTTACTATGTAGAGCAGGCTGGCCTCAAACACACAGAAATTGGCCTGCCTCTGTCTTCTGAGTGAGTCCTAGGATTAAAGGCATGTGCCACTATGTCCTGGTGAATCAGACATTTTGATCATTGTTACCAAATTTCCTTCAAATATTACAATTTGTACTCACAAGAACAATTTACTATTCTAAGCAGTATTGCTCATCTTTGCAGTGCAGTGCTGTGAATATAGCTCTGGGCTTCAGACATGCTAAGAAAGTACTCTATCACTGACCTACCCCCCAGCTACTGTTATTTAAAGCTTTCATAATGTTTGTTTTTCTTTTCAGTTCTGGGGATGGAACCCAGGGCCTTGAGCATCCTAGGCAAGTGCTCTACCACTGAGTTATACCCCCAGCCCTTGTTTTAATTGTGAGTGACATCACAGATCTTGCCCTGTGTTACTTGGCTATTTTCATATTATCCCAATGGCTGTCATAGATAGGGGATCTCAGGGTGTATCTATTCCTACTTTGTGGAAAGAAGAACCCAGTGCCCAAGAAGTACTGATTGCCCTGGCCACATAGCAGCCATCAGGACTGTGACTCTCTGTTTCTTTTTCCAGGGAATACCTTATTTTATGAGTTCTTATACAGTTTTTAAAGCCTAAGAGCTCATTGTCCTCTTCTGCTTTTTAGAAGACAGGCAGACCTGATGTAAGAGGTTACAGAGTCTGTCTCCAAATGGCTTTCATCTTCTGTACTTACCTTCTTTCTCCACTCTAACACCAAGAGTAGCATAGTCCCCTAGGGAAACTCCAGACTTCAAGCCTCATGGCTAGGAGCTTGCCAGCTGCCCCAGGATTGGTGCTTTGCAAGGAGGGCCCATGTTCCTGGTTCCTGACCTCCCTTTGTGGATTTGGCTTCTCTGTCTTAATCCTTTGCCAGTTTCCTGTATGACCTCCTATTCCTCAGGCTCATTGCTAGCCTCCCACATATGCCCATGAGGCCCCCTGCTGTGGAGAGTTAGAACAGAAGCACCTGGCAGTCCTGACATGCTGGTCCAGGATTGGCTTTTTGTGAACTCTCTAGCTATAACTGGGCATACCTGCCACCCTCTTAGCCTGCTTATCCATCCCACTGGCAGACCAGATGAGGGCCTCTCCTGTGTATTTACAGGCAGGAGGAAGGGGCCAGGCCATGGTATGATTTTAGGCAATGCATATGTGCTCACCATTTATGACTTCACTGGGGTGAAGCAAAATCAGTACATCAAAAAGCCAGGCTCAGAAATGGAAATATATTGTACTTTTTGTACAGAAAAGATGAAGAAAATGGTATCTATAACATTGCATGTATATTAAGATAGTTGAAACAATATATCAGAAACGAGCACTGGTATCCAATGTAGTGACACATATGTTTAGTTCCAGCTACTCTGGAGGCTGAGGAAGGAGAATCATTTGAGCCCAGGACTTTGAGACCAGCCTGGGCAACATAGAAAGACCTGATCTCAAAAGAAAAAAAAAATTGAAGAGAAATTAGCACTGGTTACCTATCAGAGAGAGGATGTTATAGTCCAGACAGACTGAGTCTTTTTGTACTTATGATTTGATGTTTTTTTCTTTGAGACAGAGTCTCATTGTGTAACCCTGGCTGGTCTGGAACTTTCTATGTAAACCAAACTGCCCTTGAGTTGACAGAGATTCACCTGCCTCTGCCTCCTGAGTACTGGGATGAAGGTGTGCACAACCATACCTGACCTACTTCTGACTTTTGAGTCAAAGCATTATACAAAAGTCTAAGACATACATGAAAGAGAAATTTGAAAAGTGGCCTATATTTTGAGGACCATCAGTAGGCTTAGGAAGACAAAGGTCTGGTGCACTCACGTGCTCAATTATTTAGTGTTGGCAGCTCAGAAAATAACTGACAATAAGACAGATCACATCCCTTGTCCAAAGGCTCATACCTCCTCTCCTTGTCCCTGTTTTTGTTTTATATTTTTGTAGTACTAGGGATTGAACCCAGGGCCTCACACATGCTATACAAGTGTTCTGCCATTGAGCTATCCTTGCTAGGCCCCTATCCTTACTTTTGAAAACACTAGAGAATCTGTTTTTTTTCAGGTTGAGTAGCCCAGGCAGGGTACGCCGTCCAGCATGGCCTCTGGGAGAACCTTGGTGATGGAGCCAAGAACCTAAGGATTCTGTTTTCAGTGTTTGGTCTCAGACACTGTAAAATTTGTCATGGACTTTGCAGGGGAATATATAAGACTAATATGAGTTTGAGGTGGATATTTGAAGAGTCACAGTGAAGAGGAAAGCTGCAGAGCTGTGCACAGGGAGGACCTAAAGTTCAGATAGTCCAACATTGTGTATGCTTCGTCTATGTCCTTTCTTCTCTGTTATTGATCCAGGCAGCAAAATTCAACTTCTCTCCATGTGGAAGCTACATCCTCCTTTTTTATGGACCACTCTTCTCCAGATTTAGCCAGGAGACTGTACCCAGCATGAGTGCTGAGCCAGTGTGTATTAATGAATTCACTTAGATCCTCCTGGTGCAGGTGCAGGCAGATGTGCCAAGGACCTAGAAAAGGTCAAAACAATAATTTCTGGCATTTTCTGAGTAAGTGCTTTTTGTAGAGCAAGAACAGTGCCACTGACAGCTGCATACTGTTTGATCTACATAGAATCCCACAACCAAACTGGATGTCAGTGGGTGATGCAGAGTGCTTTGAAGAACAGTACTGCTCCTATAGGAAGAACTGTTGTTAGTTCACTTCTGTTTCTAATTCCTGTTGTCCACAGATGGAGAGATTACTTCCAAGCCAATGGTGTTGTTCCTGGGACCGTGGAGTGTTGGTAAATCCACCATGATAAACTACCTCCTTGGGTTGGAAGATACTCGCTACCAGCTCTACACAGGTGTGAAATTTTATTAGGTGGGGTGATTCCTAATATGTCAATTGTGAAAATGTCACTTCCCAATTGAATGTCAATTGTGAAAGCACGATGAACAATTACAATATTTGAAGCCTTTAATAATAATGAAAACCACATGCAAGAAGTCAGTAGCTTCACTACATTCCTAGCAGCATTAGTCACAAAATCCACTAAGTAGAAACAACTCAAATGTCCACTGATGGATGAATGGATAGCTAATGTCTGTACATACAGTGGAATGTTAGCTTTAGAAAGGAATGATACAGGGGGCTGGAGAGATGGCTCAGTGGTTAAGAACACTGGTTGTTCTTGCAGAAGACCTGGGTTCGAATCCCAGCACACACATGGCAGCCAACAACTGTCTATAACTCCAGTTCCAGGGGATCCAACAGCCTCTTCTGACCTCCGCGGGCATTGCACGACATGGGTGCACTTACCTACATACAGGCAATACATGCATACACATAAAATTAAAAACAAATAACATTAAAAAAAAAGGAATGGCACAGAACTGGGGAGATGGCTCAGTGGTAAAGTGCTAGCTACACAAACCTGAGAACTTGAATTCAGATTCCCAGAACCCATGTAAAAGCTGGACACAATAGCACATGTCTCTGTAATCCCAGTGCTTCTATGGGGAGATGGAAGGAGACAGGAAAGTCCCTAGAAGCTTGTAGGCCATCTTGCCTGGCTTATGCAGCAGTGAACAAGAGACACCCTGTCTCAAATAAGTGGAAGGTGAGGACTGACACTAAGATTGTCCTCTGACCTCTACCCCTGTGCTGTGGCACATTTATGTAGTGACAGATATGTGCCAGCACTCACATACAGACAAAAACTCACACATTATGCACATGTGCACACAGGCATACACAGAGAGACAGAAATGAATAATACATGCTGCTAGAATGCATTAGGCATATCTTTGCTACAACGTGGATAAACCTTGAAAACAATATGCTAAGTAAAACAAGCCAGGAACAAAAGGACAACTATTATATTATTCTACTCATATGCGGTATCACAGTAGGGAAAATTCATAGAGACAGAAAGAGGACAGAGGTTGTCAGGTGATGAAGATGGAGAGGTAGTGTTTAATGGAAACAGAGTTTCAGCATGGGGAGATGATAAAGTTCTGGAAATGGAGAGTGGAGGTAACTTGTTGGACAATAATGCCAATATACTTAATGCCACTCAACTGTACATTTAAAGATTATTAAAATGGTGGTTTATGTTAGTATTTTAGTATAATGCATTTTAGTGTAATTAAAAAGCAAAGGCTGGGCGTGGTGGCGCACACCTTTAATCCCAGCACTCGGGAGGCAGAGGCAGGCGGATCTCTGTGAGTTCAAGGCCAGCCTGGTCTACATAGTGAGTTCCAGGACCGCTGAAGCTACAGGAAGACCCTGTCTCAAAAAGACCAAAAAAAAAAAACCAAAAAACAAACCACTGTTCTTGCAGAAGACGCAGATTCGATTCCCAGCACCCACATGGCAGCTAACAACTGTCTGTAACTCTAGTTTCAGGGGATCCAACAGCCTCTTCTGTTCTCCATGGACATTTCACGACACAGGTGCATTTACCTATATGCAGGCACTACACTCATACACATAAAATAATAAATAAAATATTTAAAAAAGCAAAAAGCCAGCAAAACTGTTATCCTTGTGGCAAATCCTTTCCAAGACACCATGCTTGTCAACATCTCTTTAGTAGTCAGTTTTGCAATGACTGATGTTTTTCCACATCTCACCATATCATGCAGGTGCTGAGCCCACCACCTCTGAGTTCACTGTCCTCATGCATGGGCCCAAGCTGAAAACCATTGAGGGCATTGTCATGGCTGCTGACAGTGCTCGGTCCTTCTCACCCTTGGAAAAGTTTGGTCAGAATTTTCTGGAGAAGCTGATTGGCATTGAGGTTCCCCACAAACTTCTAGAACGAGTCACTTTTGTGGATACACCAGGCATCATTGAGAATCGCAAGCAACAAGAAAGAGGTAATTTAGGGGGCTGAGGAAATGAACACACAGTGGGTAAGAGCACTTGCTCTGCAACTATGAGGACCTGAGTTTGAATCCTCAACATCCCACATAAAAAGTCAGGCATAGGTGTGTGTACATGTAACCCCAGTGTTGTGGGGCAGAGACAGGCAGATCCCTAGAGCTCGCTGGCCAGCCAGTGTAGTAAAATGATGAGTTTCTGGTTAATTGAGAGACTTTGTCTTAAAAGTATAAGGTGGAAAGCAATAGAGGAAGATACCTGTCATCCTCCTTGTGCCTCTGTATGCACACTCGTGTGCATGCTTACCTGCATACCTACACACACACACACACACACACACACACACACACACAAAGATGTAATTTAGCATCCATTTCTTTTTTTAAAATATTTTATTTATTATTTTTATTTTACATGTATGAGTGTATTGCCTGCATGTATATGAGTGCACCGTATCGTGCAATGCCACGGAGGTCAGAAGAGGGCTTCGGATTCCCCTGGAACTGAAGTTAAGGACAATTCGTAGCTGTCATGTGGGTGCTGGGAATTGAACCCGGGTCCTCTGCAAGAGCAGTTAGTGCTCTTAACCGCTGAGCCAACTCTCCAGTCCCAGCATCCATTTCTGAATAGCAAGAACTCTGTCTTAGAAAATATGATCAACAGCGAGGGGCAGGCAGGGCAGTGTTATCTAAGATCAGAAGATGCATTTTTTTTGTTGTTGTTGTTTGAGACAGGGTCTCCCTGTAGCCCCAGCTGGCCTAGAACTCACAAGCTTGCCTTGATCTCACAGAGACCTACCTGCCTTTGCCTCCCTAATGGTGAGATTAATGACATCCATTACCATGTCCAGCTTCAGAAGATGGATTCTTTACCTCCAATCCTGTCACTGTGGTACCACTTGGGGTTTGGAGTGCCAAGTTCTCTGCCTCCTGAAGGGCTGATTCACTTTGGAAATGGCCAGTATTTTCCCAGGGGGAGTACTAGTCTTTTCTGTAAGATATTGGAGAGGTCCAAGGTGGGGGCAAGTTGTCTTTAGGATACCCAGTCTGTCTTGAGTAGTGAAGGGCTTGGGCTAGTTGGATCTTCATGAGATATATTTGAATTCTGGTTAGCCTGGGTCTTGGACTTGGGCTTACTTTTGGTTGAACCTGGTCTTCATCTCATTTTACTCCTAATATCTGCTTTGTTGGGCCTGCTTTAACCTAAACCTTTATCAGGCTTTCCACCCTGCTTGCCTTCAGGTGGCAAGGGATTGCCATTCTGAGCCTGGTAAGCATGAGGCTATGCCATAAGCCATTGAAAACTGTCATGATACAAGGCTATATACATTGATGTATCCTAAACAGGACAGTCATAGGAATATGTGACTAAATGGCAAATATCAATTCATGGCTATGATTCATATTTGGGTTGTAGCTAGACCCTGATTTAAAAAAATTTATTATTTTTGTTTTATGTGTATGCGTGTATTGCCTGCAGGTAGGTAGATGCACCCATGTCGTGCAATGCCCTGGAGGTCAGAAGAGGGCTTTGGATTCCCCTGGAACTGGAGTTCAGGACGGTTTGTAGCTGCCATGTGGGTGCTGGGATTCAAACCCGGGTCTTCTGCAAGAGCAACCAGTTTTCTTAACCACTGAGCCATCTCTCCAGCCCCTAGACCCTGATTTATTAGTAGTAACACCACTTAAAATGATAATTTAACCTTATTATACCCCTATTATGTATCAGATAACTTTTTTTTTTTGTCTTTTTGAGACAGGGTCTCCTTGTAGTCCCAGCTGGCCTGGAATTCACTCTGTAGACCAGACTGGCCTTGAACTCATAGAGATTTGCCTGCCTCTGCCTTCCAAGTTCTGGGATTAAAGGCATGCTCATGAAGTACTTATTAAAGGCAGATAAGGTAAAAAGATTGGTATTCCTTATTTCCTCATTTTGAAAATAAGAAAATTGGGGAAACAAGTAAAAAAATAAAAAAAATATATTGAGAACCTGTTTGACTGGCAGCTTTAGTTAGGTGTACTCCCATTTTACAACACAGTGATCTTTACATCAACTTTGATATTATTGTGATCAATATTTTATGAACAAGAGTTTAAGAGCAGTCACCCCCCCTCCACAGCTGGCCCATGGCAGGCCCCAAATGCCAGCCCAGGTCTTGACACTGGATTCACATTTCTTTTCCTTAAACCACATATCCTCTCTCATTCCCTGGCTCCCTGACTTCCCTCTTTCAATATCTTTGTCATTGCCCTAGATCCTTTTAGACCTTTGAAATTTTTCCACTTGTTTTTTGTCTTTTTAAAATATTTTTTTGGGGGTGGGGGAGTTGGAGAGATGGCTCAGCAGTTAAGAGCACTGACTGCTTTTGCAGAGGACCCAGGTTCGATTCCCAGTACTCACGCCATGGCAGCTAACAACTGTCTGTAACTCCAGTTCCAGGGGATCTAATGCCTTGTTCTGACCTTTGTGGGCATTGCACATCATAGGTGCACTTACACACATGCAGGCAAAACACTCATACACATAAAATTAAAAAAATTTTAAAATTGTTTTTGTTTTTATGTGAATGAATGTTTTGCCTGCAAGTATGTAAGTACACCCATGTCATGCAATGCCCCAGGAAAGCTAGAAGTGGGCATTCGATCCCCTGTAACTGGAGTTTTGGAAGGTTGTCAACCACTATGTGGGTGCTGGGAACCAAACTCAGGTCCTCTGAAGAGCAGCATGTGTTCTTAACCACTGAATCATCTCTCCAGCCTCATTTTTTATCTTGTTGTTGTTTTGTTTTTTGTTTTTGAGACATGGTCTCATTAAATGTGGCCCATGCTGGCCTTGAATTGAAGATCCTCCTACCTCAGTTTCTCTGAGTGCTGGGATTACAGGAATGTACCACCACACCCTGCATGAAAAGCTCTACCTTGAACAAATATTTTATTCCCAGAGACTCAGATTCTACTGTAGATTAAAATATGGGGGAATCGGGCTATGCTTAACTGAAGGTTGACAAAAAATAGGAGATATGCTCATTCTTCACTAGTCTTTAGAATTCCAGAAAATTCCCAGTAGTATGACTTTGTTCAGCCTCCACAGTGATTTGGTACTGAAGGGAAGTACAAAGGGATTTGTGTGAGTCCCACTCAGCTTGACTTCTCATTCCTGTTTCCCTAAGGATACCCCTTCAATGATGTGTGTCAGTGGTTCATCGACAGAGCCGACCTCATCTTTGTTGTCTTTGACCCCACCAAGCTGGATGTGGGCCTGGAGTTGGAGATGCTCTTCCGTCAGCTGAAGGGACGTGAGTCCCAGATAAGGATTATCCTAAACAAGGCTGACAATCTGGCCACACAAATGCTCATGCGGGTGTATGGGGCTCTCTTCTGGAGCTTGGCCCCTCTTATCAATGTCACGGAGCCCCCTCGGGTTTATGTCAGCTCCTTCTGGCCTCAGGACTATAAGCCTGACACCCACCGGGAACTGTTCCTCAAAGAAGAGATCTCCCTTTTGGAAGACCTGAACCAGGTGATTGAGAACAGGTTAGAGAACAAGATTGCTTTTATTCGCCAGCATGCCATTCGAGTCCGCATTCATGCCCTTCTGGTTGACCGTTATCTGCAGACTTACAAGGACAAAATGACCTTCTTTAGCGATGGAGAGCTGGTCTTTAAGGACATCGTGGAAGATCCTGATAAATTCTACATTTTTAAGACCATCCTGGCAAAGACCAATGTCAGCAAGTTTGACCTTCCCAACCGTGAGGCCTATAAGGACTTCTTTGGCATCAACCCCATTTCCAATTTTAAACTTCTCTCTCAACAGTGCTCTTACATGGGGGGTTGTTTCCTGGAGAAGATCGAACGGGCCATCACCCAGGAGCTCCCCAGTCTCCTGGGTAGCCTTGGGCTTGGGAAGAATCCAGGTGCTCCTAACTGTGACAAAACAGGGTGTGGTGAGATCCCAAAGAATCGCTACAAGAAGCATTAGGTTGTGTGTAGACATTCTTGGGTCTCCATTGATGAATGAGCTTGAGTCCTAACTGTCTGAGAAGTCCTGGTTTATTAACCCTTTGAGCCATACTGGTGAGGATCAGTATACATTGGAGATTTGGGAGTTCATTGAGGCTGTGAAGCAGGGAAGGTGCGCAGGTTCTAGGGAGGAGAGCGGAAACTGTGAATTATAGTGTGCTTGTATTGTTGCTGCAGTTAGAAGGCCTGACTGAAGCAAGCCAGGCTTCTTTTACTTTTTCTGGGTCCTGTCTTAGAAGGATAGAGAGCAGCTAAATTCTAGTGACTACTAAGTCAATGGGGGTCAAATAACTAAATTCAGATGAATTCCCTTTTCCCTTATAAGCTGGGCAGGTGGTAAAGCCTGAGTAATAAAGGGCTCTCAGGTCTGTGTCAACTCCTTCCACACACCATTTTCTGCTTGTTCCTATACCTCATTGGCTCCCTCCCAAGCTCAGGTTGACTTTCAGAAGTGGACAATCTCTTGGGACTGAATCTTCATGAGTTTTGAGCCTGACCCTGGAACCTCCTCTCTGTTTTCCCCAAGGGTAGGACAATGGTTAGCGTACCAGAACACTAAAACAAGAAATTTCAGGTTAAGGCATTGATCTCCCTCCCCAAGTGTCATTTCTTTGATGTCCCAGCTGTAGAGCTCAGACACTTAATTGGCCCCAAGAGGAAGGTAGGTGGGTGGTATATTCAGGTTCTTCTCTTGGAAATACCAAGAATGTACTGGAAGGGCTCAGGGGGTTAATTGGTTTGCAGTGTGTCTTTGTCTATTGCATGTCTTGGAAAACTCAGATCACAAAGGTGTTGGGTTTCAGACAGGACAATGGAGATCTTGTTCCTTGTCCTTGGGGACTTCTCTGGGCAGCAGCTTCTCCCAAGATTAGGAGGAAGCTATAACTTCTCTGGGGGAGCACCTGACAGAAGAGGTGTCCATTTAGGTTCCCAGTACCATAGCTTCCCCTTTCCTTTCTTCTCCATTCCCTGATGTACCAACATTTCCCACTGAGAGAAATTCCCTAGGATCAGAACCAGCCCCAGCTGGTGGCAACCAAGGTCTGAGGTTCAGCTTCTACCTGAACTTGATGTAGATATCCACAGAATGTACCATGGGATAGTCAGGATCTTCAAACATCAGTAAGCGTGCATTTGTGTATTCACTGTCCAAGAGAGAGATTAGGGAGATGACATACCTGAGGGCACAAAGAAAGAACTCTTGAGAGTTTTGTATGGCAGATATACACTGCCACCTTGGAGGGCATAGGAGCAAGAAAGATGAACAGCCTTTTGATGGAGCAGGCAAGGTGAGATTCAGGCTGCCTAGAGGACTTCCTCTGAGTACAACTAGCTGCTTTTCTTGGGAGCAAGCTGTCCTGGGGACCTAGACTGTGAGGCATGGGTTGGAATCTAATAGCACCAGCAAGTCATCTGGACCAGAAGAAAAGTAGAAAAGAGGCCAAACCAGAGTTCTTCCTTCTGAGGATCAGGCAGTGTAGAAGAATGGCAATCAGGGGCTGCATAGAGAACTGCATTTTAGGAGTTCATGTTTCTTAGAATTCTTAGCAGTCTGGTGCCTGCTGTAAGGGAGGCTACTGGTCTTGGCTCTGTGGAGGGCCCAGGACCTCCCATGAAAGGGTCAGAATTTCCAGTGCTTCCAGGACACTGTTTCCAAGGAGTAATTTCTTCTGTAAGGGTCATCCATGGATACTGGTGGCCAGAACAGATGAGTCTGTCTTGGTCTTTTCTTCCCATTAAAATGTATACCCAACCCCAAAGCCTCTCCTCTCCTAATCTCTCCGTCATTTGCCCACTGGGAGACTGTCCCTCCCTCCTTTCTCCTTCCTGCTCCTTATGCCCGTGGGTTGCATGTGGCAAATCTGTTTTTTTCTCAAGGTAGTCAGGGAAATAAAAAATGCAGACCTCTAGGGACCTTGTCCTGTTGGTGTTTGCATGCTTTGGGGGAAGCAGGTGAAATGAGGCCAATAAACTAATATAATATTTGTATTTTCTGAGGGATAGCTTATCAGAGTGACTCTCCTTTTGGATTTTTTTCCTCCATCTTTTTCTTTATTTTTCTTTGTCCCCATTCTGTTCCTCTTCTCACACTCCAACTTAGTTCCTTTGCCACTCACAAAACTGTTGATGGATGAGCACAGGTAAATTTAGTACCTGTTCTTTGCCCAGCTCTGCAGAGATGGATTTTTTGAGCAGGATTCTGAGTGGAGGAGGAGGGTGCCGGGAACAGGGGGTGGAGGGAACATGGGATCTGGAGATTTCCTGAAGTAGAACACCTGTGAGTGTCTGTGCCAGAACATTTGCTGACTCTTTCCAGTGTTCTTTCCATTCTGATTTCATCAGGGAGAACATCTCAATAAAGTTCCAATCTCTCTTTAACACTTTGTCCTTCCTGATTGTCTCCAGCCAGGTGAATCTCTTAGTTTTCGTTTACTTCGGCGAGCGTACTTAATTATTTTTATGTTTCTTGGGGGATAGCTTGGGAATGTATAAATGCTTAGCCTTGTTTGGGATGTTTTCTGGAGTCTTTTTTGGTAGCTCCTTCCTTCATTTAGCCCCTTAGGAGTGGAAAATGATTCACTCCCTCAGAGGTTAGGAAGCCAAGGCCCAGTGCTGTATGATGGGAAACGCAAAGAACACTCTCCTCAGCACCTTCACTATTTCCAGGCATCCAGGACAGTATCTATTTTTGAAGAGGATCACTTAAAATTTCTCTCTGTAGATCCTTCATAGAGGCAGCTCAGCCAGTGACACCAATTGGTTCATGTTTTCTATTATACAGCTGCCTCATGACCTCCGGTGGAAGAAACTGAGGTCAACTACCTCTGGCTACTCCAGAAAATGGTCGCCACTCTACCTGGTGTAGGCATGTGTACTGGTTTTAGAGAAACCTGAGCACATCCCGACTCCCTGAGCCAGTACCTTCCTACCACATTTCACCATTTCCAGTGCCCTCTTCATATCAAAACTCCTTTAATTTTGAAGTTTTTCCCACTGGGAGCCTCCCAAGAAGTTTCATACCTGGGCTTAGGAGGCAATTTGAAAGGAAAAGAGGTGGGCCCTGGGAAAAAGGTGGGAGGTTGGAAAAAAAACCAAAAGGGAGAGCAGGACCTACAAACCCAGGCCACACCTATTTAGTCATGCTGTGGAGGATGGCAGAGTCAGTGGCTGCAGTCAATGTCTCTGGGTTCTCTGGCTTGGGAGGAGCTGATCCTAGGGCTGGACAAGTGAGCCATACTCTTCCATGCTTGCCTCCTAATCAAGGGGAGTCTTTGAACAGCTGTGCAACCTGACCTATTCATCTACTGCATCCTGGTTCCTCTCTCACCTAATTCAGAAATACAGAACTTTCCCCTGGAAGATTGAAGGCAAGCAAAGTTTGTTTTGAAGAGGAATACAAGTAATATACTAAATCCTGCCTCAAATTCCTGCTGTTCCATCGTTTTGTACCCTACCATCTTTAGGTTAGGGTTGCTATTATGGGAACTGAGAAAGAAACAAAGTAGAGAAAGGGGCTGGAGAGATGGCTCAGCAATTAAGAGCACTGACTGCTCTTACAGAGGACCAGGGTTTGGTTCCCAGCACTCATGGTAGCTAACAACCATCCTTAACTCTAGTTCCAGAGGATCCTCTTCTGGCCTCTGTGGGCACTGCATGCATGGGCATGCTTATCTACATGCAAGCAAAACACTCATATACATAAAAATAAAGAGAAAGAGAAAGCAAAATCAAAGGCACTCTAAACAGGAAATGTAAGGGATGGAGCATGCAAAAGAATTCATGTGAAGGCTCAGGGAATGGGGAAGCAGGTATACATATGTGATTTTTTGTGACCAAAAGATGCCCAAGTACCTAGTACAGTGCCTGGAAAATAGGAATGAAATGAAATGGATGCTGAGGAAATGAATGAAATGAAAAATGGAATGCTAGAATGAAAAAAATGGATGCTGAAGAAATGAATGAAATGAAAAATGGAATGCTAGAATGAAAAAAATGGATGCTGAAGAAATGAATGAAATGAAAAATGGAATGCTAGAATGAAAAAAATGGATGCTGAAGAAAAAGGTGCATGTGTGTGTGTGTGTGTGTGTGTGTGTGTGTGTGTGTGTGTGTGTTTGTTTTGCTATGTTGCCCAGGTTGGCCTGGAACTCCATGTGGCCAAAGCAGTCTTTGGACTCATAATCCTTATGCTTTAGCCTCTTGAGCAGTGGGATTACAGGCTCATACTACCACATCCAGATAGATGATACAGTTTGTGTTGTGTGTTTAGATGGTTCTGGGGTGAAATAGTAGAGACTGTGAAGTTTATGAATATATATGAATATGTGAGAGTGGATGAGGGGATTCTCTCTCTCTCTCTCTCTTTCTCTCTCTCTGTCTTTCATCTCTCTCTCTCCCCTCTGTATATGTGTGAATCTGGATGGCTGACCAAGGATAGAAAGGATAGAGACCCAGGAAGAAGCATCCAAGGAACACTCCTGTCAGTCCCTGAGTTTGCAGGTATGACAGCCCAGTGAACTGAGGTCAAACAGCCTTAGAAAACTCATGGGTACTGGCAGTATTTAATGCCAACTCCTCTTAGTGACACGAAGCTTAGGCTTTAATTAATGCAAAAAAACCTTAATTGTTCCCTAGAAGATCATAAAGGCAATAAAAAGGAGACATTAGAAAACCAGAAACTGAGACTGATGACCTGACACTATGTATGAGAAAGGGGTATTCGACAGATGTTGTCTACCTCTTAACCTATCATGCATAAAGGGGGATCTTTTTCTGCACCTGCTTGCTCTGTGGGTTATGTTCTGCTTTCCTACAAATGTCTATGGGATTCAAAGTGCTAACTGGCCACTAGAAAAAGAGAACTGGGGCTGGAGATATGGCTCAGCGGTTAAGAACACTGGTTGTTCTTGCAGAAGACCCAGGTTGGAATCCCAGCATCCACATGGCAGTTAACAACTGTCTATAACTCCAGTCCCAGGGGATCTGACAGCCTCTTCTGTCCTCTGTGGGCATTGCAGGATATGGGTGCACTTGCCTACCTGCAGGCAATACAAGCATACACATAAAATAAAAACAATAAATAAAATTAAAAAAAAAAGAAAAAGTGAACTAATTTCCAGAGTATTTCCCTTGTGCCAGGAACTGGCCTTCAGCCCTGTAGGCAATACCACACTTACACCTAACAATGATGGGCTAATCATACCAGGTGTGTACCAGGTGCTATACTGAGGCTTTATGTGCATTATTTAATTAAATCCTTACAACCACATAGGGAGGAGTTGGCCAGAACAGTTCAGAACACAGACTATAGAGTCACATTGTTTGGGACTGATCCTGGTTTCTCCACTTGCTACAAGGTAGCCTGAGGCAAATGACTAAACTGTGTTTCAGTCTCCTTACTCATAAAATGAAGACACTGACAGTTCCTCCCTCATGGGGATTTAAATTACTTGGTACATGTAATGTGCTTGACACAGGACACAGCCTACAGAGAGCACTCAGGGAATGTCAGTTTTTATTACTATTGTTAGTCATATTTTGCCAATAAGACTGATGGTCAGAGTGACTGAGATTATGGCATATGTAAGTGAGAGAGCCAGAATTCTACCCCATATCCAACTCTGTATGGGTCATGCTAGGTTATTTGCTCAGGGTCACATTGGATAACACTGATTTTTTGACCCTAAGCCTTTCTCCCTTCTTCACAAACTGACCAAGGTTTGCTTGGCTTTTTTGAGTGACCGTTCAGTACTTTGACTCTCTTTTATTTTTAAATTTTATTTATTTGGGGGAGGTATACATGCCACAGCATGTGGGTGGAGGTCCAAGGACAACTTGCAAGAATTGGTTCTCTTCTTCCACCAAATAGGTTCCAGGGATTGAACTCAGATCACCAGGCTTGGTGGCAAGGATGTTTATTCACTGAGCCACCTTGCTGGCCCAGTACTTTGAATCTTTTAGGAACAAAATTAAACCATTTAAAAGTATTTAATTCATTGAGGATTATTTTCTGTTCAAATACTTAAACAACACATCAATCTTTATTTCCCATTTGATTGTTTACATGATCTTGTAATGTAAAGGAGAGTAGAGTTTATTTATTCTACCTGAATTCAAATCCAACATGAGAAAACTGCATCTCCACAAAAACCCTGAGAATTCTATCCAAGTTCATTCAGCTAATACATGACAAACTAAGTCAAATGACCCATTTTCTATCCATTTCCAATTTTTTCTAGTATGTATTTTTTAAATTATTTACTTATTTTGTGTGTATGTCATAGCACACACATGGAGGTCAGAGGACAACTCTCAGGAGTCTGTTCTCTTCTGCCACCTTATGAGATTCCAGGATTGAACTCAGGTGGTCAGACCTGCGCACAAGTGTCTCTACCTACTGAGCCATCCTGCCAGCCCC